TTATAAAGCGCAATTTTAAATTCGTGTTACCAATATAATGTGAAACTAGAGCGTCACTCTTTGTGAGACTGACATTTCGGGTGCTTGCATGATGATGCTTCAGTCAGTGTCATCGATAATTAAAATTCTAACACTACTGATTTTTAGGCAACTATATCGGTCCCATAATCGAGTCAAAGATTAAATAAAATGACTTACATTACGGAAATTGTTTCACGTTTCTCAAGGTTTTATATATAACTTTTGATAAGAAATGGTAATATTATAAATATAATCTAGCTCGTGTTAACAATATATTTACAGGGCTGAGGAGAGTAGTGAGACGTGATAATCACAAGTATCATAAACCTGACATGCAAATAAAGCTATCTCTAACATTCAAAGTGGGTCTGAAACTATTTTATTCTAGAGGGCTGCGGATATCCCAAAGTTTATTTTGGGATTGGGTTAAGTTTATGTGCATGTGTAAGGATGCGTATAATTAAATGTTTGAGATCATGATAAAGGGTTAGAGCTCGAGTTGAGCAAAGAAAACTTTTTGACAGTTATATATTTTTTTCGTGATAGACGTATATCAGTCAACCAACTTGAACATTTTCGTATTACTATCGCTCTTATTACTCTTATGAGATTAAAGACGCGTAAATTGTTCGATCGTCAATCGAGAGATGAGGCAATGCATTCCACCCGTCATAAGTTTTGTGGCTAAGTTTATGAATTCACTATAGTAATGTTGTGTGTCTGAGTTCGGGACCTGTCTCAGTTCAGAACCCAGTCACTCAGTCCAGAACTCAGTTGTCTCGGTCCAGAACTGAGACAGGTCCCTAACTGAGGTACAACAATAACACGTCTTCAGTTATAGCATATTATCGAATTCAGCATTCTAGAGGTTTATAATTCCTTTTAGGCGTCATAATCAACATAGTAATAGCATATGGCCTAACGAACTACAATAGGTATCCAATACAATCAAAGTTATTAGAACCACAAAATGGATTCCACTAACAAAAAGAGATTGTATTCTGAGAGTTTCTAATATTCATATGGTGTCTTGTCAGAAGCATATCTTGTTTCCAATTTTGCTGCTGTAATAGGCATGATTATGATGTTCGGATTGCAACCTCGATGTTTTTTGAGCACATGACTACTAACATTCAAATTAGGATAACGCTTATTGAGAATAGGAAGCGAAAATAACAATGGCACAGACGTTGCATTGTAAAAAATTTGTGTAATGTCGGGTCAAACAGGAATGTCTCAAGCCATAGCGATAAAGTGTGATAGCTCGTAACGGCAATACTTCAGACATCAATTATTCTCAGTCATTCTGTGAGATGTTATAATCTGATGATTAAAGTTTTATGAACAGTTCTAGAACTAAACTTAATAAACAGAATAATTTATTCCATTGTTTAGTTTTAGTTTTATGTCAGTGTCACAACTCAGAAAACCGTCATCAGCTGCCATAAAGAAGATTCCTTTAACCCGTTGAAGGGTATGGATCCGCACAGCCTGCAGTGTGTAGATCATAAAAATAGTAAACGTGTTGAAAAACGTGGGAGTTTCAGACAAATTCTAACATTCCAATTTAACAGGTGCCCGATTTCTTCATCGAGCAATGATCGTAGAAGGGTTGGCACAAGATACTTCGCACAGTATGGTCTCTACCTTTTGTTCTTGGACAGCTTCAACATTTGTTCTTTGTAACGTCAATTGGCCCAACTGCTGTCACATCACTGTTCATAAGTCAAGCTACGAGGATATTTAAGTGAAATAGTAAGTTTTTTTACTGGAGTTATGTAACTTCTGTGTGACGTCAGGAGTTGTATTCCAATAATTGTCATTACTGGATTCATGTCGCGATATTACAGGTTTGATCGATGAAATCTAAAACATACCCACGGCCTCGAAAGTTTGCCCTTCAGGGAATCACACGACATCATCCAACAACAGATCATACGTCATTAGCTCTCTAGAACAGTCGCAATCATAAGAATACTCATCCTTCACGTTCTCAGATTTGAAAGGAAGTACGTCCATAAACGTACATTCTCTTCTTTGCACATCGTTTGTATGAGTTGCGACATTCATTGCGTTGCTGGATTCAGACATGGAGAGACATTGACAGTAGAGCATATTGCGATGATATAGAGCTTGGGAAGATAAATACTTCACAAGACATGTAAGGTAATATGATTGATGGCGAACAACAGATATCGGTGATTTGCTGTTAAAGGGTTACTTGTCATTTGTTGTAATTGAAGTCACGCAGTTTCAATAGTTGATATTGTGTTAACATTTAATATTATCGATCCACAGCCAACCTGATCAAGAACCTGTGGCATACTCGGATGAATCGTTGGCTGCCGACGGCTTATCCAGATACTGGCACATTCACCATACAGCTGTTTCAAGTTCCGTTGGCAGGACCATATCATCATAATCTAACTGTTTGCTACTTGACTAATACTACTCTAGCATATCCGTTGATGAAACGTACATGCTTTATTATCATGGTTTGATAATTTGGCAAAACAAGATCATGGTATTATTACTAGTTATGAATATAAGCTTTCCTTCAAACTTCTAACTTACTGATGGCCATTGAATTATTCCAGCCAGTAACCATAATACTATTTATCCCATTCTAGGCCACATCAATAGACTTGAAGTGCTAAGCTTTTACAACAGAACAGCCATCTTCTCTATCAATTACGGAGGAATCGGTTCCAGCCAATGAGTTATCTATCTCAACATTACGTACGCCTGCTCTACTGGCTCAGTCTTTCATAACCAATTAGGCCACAGCTGCGCAAGAAAATATGCAAGTAGATGGGTACATCTCAAAAGAGGAGCTAAACGAGAAGTCTTAAAGTTGTTTGTGCTTTTGTGGGATTGCTTGTAGGGTTTACTGTGTGCACTCGGCAATCCAAGAAAAGTCTGGGGCAAGATGAATCATGTTTTACGTGAGTATATTGTATAGATTGCATTTGAGTATGGTTTGAATTTATTAGCAATAATTAACGATATACAGTATGCTATTAATGATACTCTGAATGATACTCTGAATGATACTCTGAATGGGTCAACACCATTTTACGGATCGTGGGCTGTACAATTCGGATGCACGGATCAAGTGAGAGCTGTGTTACTGTTAAGGAAAAGATGAGTATCCAATGCAACATCAAAGTTTTTTTTTTTTTTCATCTGACTTTGGGGATATGCAGATTGATTGAATAAGCACAATGGATGAAATCCTGTGTGTGAGAAACTATTTCTACAATGCATCCTTTATTTTGAGAGGGTTACACAACAAATTACGTAAATTTCGATACTAAAAATACACAGACAATCGGAGTCCAAGATGGTGAAATTACTACTAATTTCGCATTCATTCATGATCAACAAGTAAACAACAGTGGCTACAAATCAGCAATTTCTTGGTCATTCATGCAGCCGACGAATTTTAATTGCATAAAACTTATTTGAACCTTATTATTTCAAGATTGCGATTATCATGACTTTTTCGATATCGCCCTTGGAGAGATGGAATCTAGCTCATTGCTTCTAACATATTCTTTCTTCTACATAATAGATGCCACATATATAACTCATTCTCACCATTATTACCATTTGCCTACACGCATCCTGTACTTCAGCCTGATAAAGCGAACGTATTTAGACAAATTATGTTCCGCATAAGGATATATATACTGCAACATGCAGTGGCTTGGCGATCAGATGACGTTTTGTATGTACAACTTCGGAGGTTTCATTCCTGTACCAGCAACTGAGCCGGCTGCCAACAAAGACTGTTGATAAAAAAAAAGAAGTCTCTAACCGCGTCTTACTCACGTGGGTTTCATTCACTATGCATCATTCTGTTTAGAATGTTGAACCTTGACAAAAAACCCCCCATTTGTTGTGTTCATAGTCAACAGGGGGTTCTTCCTGATTAATTGGTAATAAAGGACAACATGAATTTGTAGAAGGCAAAAGGTCAGATTGCAGGCTTAAGAAGTTGAGGATCATGGTATACAGACTAGCCGGAACCCTATAATCCCTTCAAGGGACGCCTGTACGTTATCGACACATGTTACAGAAAGTGTCCATCTTCAAATTTAGGTCCGGATCATTTCCTATGACACTGACATCTATGCGGGATGCAGAGTGCTGTCAATAGACAGTACAAACGATATTGAAACACACCCGTCTGGTGTCACACCTCATACATCGAAACATTTCCCTGAATTGTCACATCCTAATGTTTGTCGTTGGAGGAAGGGAATCGTTGATATTGATAATAAAAAAGTGCTTGGCAAAACACCAAGTTGCATGCTCGAATAACGGCAGCCCGACACAGACGCATACATACAGGTGAGGGGAAAGACCCTATCGGCTGTAATTGGCACTAACTGTGGCACTAGCTGTAGCACTACCGCACACACACTGGCGAACGCCCACCAGCATCTTCCCGTGATGAATCAAACATGCTACGTTTCACTTTGTGAACGTTTATGTGCAAGTCCGTTAAAATGCTCGTTTGGGTTCTAATTTTTGATTTCCGTGTAAACACGCATAATGTGTGTAAAATCAGAATCAAGTTTTCTGACTGCAAAACGTTAAGATTTTCAGCACAGGTAAACAAACAAGAAATGATAATGTCTACCGAACAACACGATCCTGAAATTCATAATAACTATTACGTTCTGCGTTTGTCTAAATAGTCAATACAGCATCCCAGATCATCGGGCGGACGGGTTTCACAAGGCTGATGTTTTGAAACAATCGTTGATACAATAGTTATGACTCTCATCAATCGGCACGTTTTACATCTCGTTCTGGCCATTGTGATTATCAATCCATTACTGCAGTACTTTAGGTCGTCAAGATGAATGCAGCAGACGCAGTAAAAGTATGGTAAAATGTTAGCATATAAATGCTCGAACGTCAGTTAAGACATTGGCATCGTCTTGGTGATTTCGGATTCTCATACATACATGGACGTATGGAACGCTTCGCATATTAACCGGGCGATATCTCACAACGAATTAGCTTCCAGGAAATCGTACGTCGGTAACAAGACGTGGAATCGCTCGATTGAACCGAAAGATTCCTGGTCGCCAGCTCCTAACTACAGACTTAAGAATCAAGCTTTTTCCATGAGCAAGATGCCGGTAATGGTTTTTTTTTTGGTTTTTTTTTGGGGGGTTTTTTGAGGGTGGCAAAAAAAAAAAAAAGCGGAAAAAAAAAGAACAGTTGTTATATGAAAATATTGATATCATTTTACGCACCCGCTAAGGCGAATTGGGTTATCAAAAGCTGAAAACCCTTGAATTCCTTGTGGCGTTTGTAGACAAAATCATGGGATCAAATTGTCATCCCATACAAAATGCAAACAATGCTTACGCCATTAGCAAATTGTCCTGTATAGCACAGGCTGTGCTGTGCCACTAGCAAAAAGCACTTCCAAGTCTAGACTATAACCATAAAAAAGTAACAACTCGTCACGCTATTCGTGCAACCTTACAATCACCGAACCCACCCCAAAAATCCAGATGCCTGTTAATATTAATATTAATACGTTAATATTAATACACTCTGCCTAATTAATTGGTCAGACATGAAATACGAATTCTTTTTACGTTTGTTTATGTAACCCATAATTATCATGTGGTCTATAAACATATGACGAGATTATAAAGCAAGGAATGAAGGGTTGTAGCTCTTCTTTGATGGACAGTAGATGTTATTGCAAATGTCAAAGCGTTCACCAATTTGTTTCTCACGATTTGAAGCGTATAAATGTGATTGGGTACAATCCATGACCACATGTGAATCTGGTAATTGAGGGGGGGACGCTAGACACATGGAAGGTTCTGTTGAATGAATAAAATTGACATGCGCGGCAACTGATCACAGGGCTTTTTATCTAAGCCACTTTGAACAACTATTTGTTCGGCGCAATGTAACCTTATTGGGTAAATTCGTTGACCCCCAGATTTTTTTAAAACAGGTCAGCTTCTAAACCGAGCTTAATGTCAGCAGAACTTTTTTCTCAAAGGAAAAGTTTTGTACCTGACTCTGTTTGTTCTTTAAACCTTGTTTTGTGCTCAAACCTTGTAGTGTCGGCTTGTGATCAGGTGCAACTTGTGAGTATTCATTCCACTATCTGCTTTTAGCAAGTCATTGATAGTACCAGATTCGATATACTATTACTATAGTGAGGGCAAGTTAACGAATAGAAAGTCAGAGTCGAATACTTTGTTTATCGAGTACAAAATACAGAAATTTTGTACTCTATAGCCGAACGTAGTGGTTATTGTACGTGGTTAATATAGAACTGGTGAAACAACAAGAGATGGCCAAATACAATCAATCAATCTTGCAAAGGCTAGACGTTTCCAAGATTTTTGATGGATTATAAAGACCTATAATACGAACACTAATAATAATAATAATAAAGATGTTAGTTAACTTATTATTTGTGGATATGCAGTCAAACGAAATGGTTACCGAAAAAAGTCTCTGCTGCATGTATTAGCATGCAGACAGCATACTCCAAATAATTTTATTCCATCTGGAGTCCCCCCACATAAACTGTGTGTATTAGCATACATGTCTTGTCATCAGCATATACTGCGTCTTATTAAGTCTTTATCTCCCCGTTTGACTCGACTGTTTTCTATCGATTGAATAGCAAATTGTAAAAGGAATGACAAGTAGATTTTCTGTCCTTGTGACAACAACAGCAACAACAACAACAACAACAACAACAACAACAACAACAACAAAGTGAGTTACGATTGACAAAATGGAGTGCATTTAAAAGGAAATCATTTTCGGATTATAGTCAATAATTCAGACACTTTTAGACACTTCCAATCATTGTCGAATATAAGTAACACGAATGGACTAATTTAAACTAGTGTATAAAGTGTCGGAAAAAAGTGTCTGAATTATTGACTATAACCATTTTCAGTCAGTCTTTCGCTGCAATCCATGGTCGTGTGATGAGTTGCATACTCCGTGTAGCCCTTCATATGCCTGCTATCTTTTTTGCAGGTTGATTGTTATGTCAGCTAATGCACTCTTATGATGTACACCATTGTTTATCTACTTTTCCGTCATTACTTAACGTTAAGGCATTTAAGGTGCAACATGCCTCAGATTCATGTAATTATGTGTTACTGAATCTATAAATAGTAGGTGGCGTTTCACTATTGTCGGAGATGCGTTTATCCGAATGAAATTGGGGTATAGAGCATTTCCCAACCGTCATTGTCGTTGGAGAGAAAAAATCCGTGATCCAGAACTGAATAGTGGATAATAGACTCGAGGTGTGTTGGTATATATGCTGTATATCGATCATTTGTGATGGTGTTTATTATCATCTAGAGCGATAGATTATTCGATCCCATCTATTTTGTGAGAGTGATCGTCCGAAACAACAGATGACAATTTATCAGCGAACGCCCAATCTGAGAACTACAATAATATCCATATAGACCAATAAGAATTTAAGTTCATTCACCATTCACTCACACATTGCATCTAGCAGTCGTTGTGGTAATATCCTTGTTCTGATCCGGACAACCAAGCCCATATTATATTCATGTAGATTCAGACAGGGAACATGAAAATTTTCCTGAAATGCCTGTTGAAAGCGAGTGCGACTCACAGGATGCGTACAATAAATATGATGGTATAATCATGCATTCATGTGCATATTAATAAAGACTGTATTGTTTTAATTTTTAAGACGTTCAAATAACACAGGTGTGATTAATAATCATTTAATCAATCTACATCGCAAAACTTCGCCATATCGGTAAATGACTGAAGACCCACGTTTACACTTGATGCATCTTTTTTAAAGTCATAATGTCTGTGGGTGAATGATGTACTAAAAGTAACAATAGTATGGAGATCGATGTCAAATATTTGTGGTGGTGGGTGGGTGGTGGCGGGGGGGGGGGGGCAGTTAACCGAACAATGGGGAGATTTAGTATGAATTCTTCGCTGTTCGACTTGGAAAGGATGTGATAGTCAGGAGAATTGGAAACATAATTGAAAAGGTAAACTTATGAAGAAGTACATGTGCTAGAAAAAACGTATACGTGCTTGCCTGCTTATGACTAATAATCCAGCAGTATTAGCAAATACCTTAATTATTACAATGATAGTCCAATTAAAGTTATGGCGGCTCCTTCCTTTGAATACATGACATTGCACCATTTATTGTCAACCTTGCATCCGAGCAAATTTCCCAACTGCAGGGGGAGTCCCTCTGTGGCTACTAACGTTACTGTTTGTTGTATATATTGAAAAAAGTGAGCATTGTTGTGTTTCATGAGCATATGACAAATGTTGGGATTTACAGTAAATGAGCGAACATTGCATCTGGAAGTAAGAATTACAAACTGTTCGTTAATTACCATCCCTCCTGTATTTGTGTGATGCGACTGATAGACTACATGATTAATTGCGTTCTGACTTGTTTTAATTTCGGTTACGTTTAGTTGTTACTATTAATATTACTATTACTATTACTATTACTATTACCCATTCTCTGAAATCGGATTTTGAACAAAAAACTTTAAATCCCTCCTTCCACACATTCCTCCAGTCACCTGGACGTATTTGGTATATATTAATTCATATATAGATTTCGTAACGAATTAAAGGGTGGGCGACGTATTGTCGGAATGTTAGTACAGCAGATAAAAACGTACAAGAAAAGGGGTGATGAATATTCGAGTTTATTCTTTGGGTCCAGTGACGTACAAATATCAACCCGGATATTCTGCCGTACAGTATATTCATTGATGTAGTAAGCGTATAAAGTGTATAGAGCGTATATCAATGTACAAACACACAATACGCAATACAAATACAAATACAAAATACAAAATACAAAATACAAAATACAAACATTCCTATAAACATTCCTATATACATGCCTATATAATTCCTCCATACTTATTATACACACATACGCTCCATCATTCCTCCCTCCTATACACTTATTATGCACACATACGCTCCATCTCTCTACCAATAATACTCGATGCAACCAAGAGAAAAGAAAAAGAAATCGTGACAATCAAAAGCAATTGAATCGGAATATACGAGTTGGGGGAATGAATTCTCGACCCTAAAGTATGGATGGGAGTACTGCACGCACTATAAGCGGACATTTGATACATAAATAATGGGCGGCGCTGTTAAATGGGAGTAACAATAAATGCAACAATCACTAACCAATCTCATAAATCAAGCATATGAATTATGGTAATTAATGTATCCGTTTGTATATGTATAGTCACCAAGTACAAAACATACAATAACATGTAATATATACATTGTCAATTATAAATAGCGTTTATTGTAACTATTTATATAGATATAAAAACATTACATTATTTATATGCTGTCATACTTTATTTTTCGTATTTACGCGATATTTTACTCTATCGCTTACACATATTCGATTATATCAGAAACCGTCGAATCAGCGTCGTCGATTTCGTGTGATTTCAATTATGTATCCCATCATCCCCTATAACCTCTTGCCGCAAATTTCTGCCCGTTAAATTTAGGTACCTGCCCAGGCCCTTTCTCCTCCTCCACCTCTGTCACTAGGTGTATATCTACTTGTTTCAAATGGCTCCCACTGAGCTCAAAATCAAGGGAAATAAATGTTTTTCGCACTTGTCCACAATCGATACCGATGAAGACCTCTCAAAGACATGGCGTCTCATGACCAAAGTGAAAGACGCCCTTGAATATGGACGCCGATTGGAAAACTTGTCCTGGAGACTGTGGTTTATGCATCACCTCATAATCCACGACCAGAAAAGAAGCAAGAAGTACTTTAGGAAATTATCAACGGCTACAACAAAAAAGCTGGAAACGGAAAAATCTACTGCTCTAAACTTGTTGGATACCCCAGACTTCAAGTCCAAGCCCGCCGATAGCAGTTTTCTCGAGAGAAAGGGAAAGAAAAAGGCCAGGAAGCATGTCTCTAGTGCTGCTAAGCATCTCAATACAAAAAAGCCGAAATATGCATTGAAACAGTGTTCGATGCCAACTTCCGAGGCTTTTGTGAAAACCGATACCTCTCAAATGGACATTGATGAGAAAGGACCCATGTCTATCCAAATCCCTGTGTCGGACTCGAACGAATCTATGACTATGAGCCCTACCCATAGTGATATGGTTATGATTCAGCAACAAGGCTCTCCAGAAAGCACAAGCACCATTTCAACAAGCGACGACTCTAACGACATGCAACTAACCGAACCGGTTGGTTCCATAAACGATATTTATACCGTATTTAACGAGGATTTCTTGCGTGGCTCTTTTACCGACGAACATGCGTTCGTTCTTCATCGCTTTACAACTGACCAAGAAGAGACTCAGTCAGTCCTTCTTCAAGACAGTTATGTTGGCTACGGATCCGATTTCCATTCTGATGTGCCTTCCATTGGCGTCAGTTTGAACCAACTTCTCCGCTCCGTATACGCTAATTATTCTTCGGATTCGTCAGAACCTACCTCGCCAACTGAAATGGATTTGATCAATAGCCAAGGGTACAGCACGCCAGGACTTCAATATCATCATCCCCATCTTACCGAACAGATGGTTGCCAGCTCGTCCAGTATGTCCAACGCAGTCTATGTCCCCCGTTCAGCGTCTACACCCACGGTTGATACGGATTTAGCGAACAATCTAATTAGTGTTCTGGGAACCCCCATGAATACGCCAGTGACTGATATACCGGCCCAAAGCATACTTGGTAGTAGTATGCTGTACGTAAATCAATATCAATCCGACCAGTCAACTGTACAGCCGATATCAATATCGCAGAGGCAGACGAATTCGACTGGGAATCAGTCGTCTGCTCGACAGAGTTCAGAAAACAGAGTGAAGAAGGCCCACTCAGGCGGTGAACAACAATGTTTCAATTGTGGTGTCACTTCTACACCTCTTTGGCGGCGATCGGCAAATGATGAGCTACTATGTAACGCGTGCGGTTTATAGTGAGTGTCATATTTCTGTTAAAAATTTGATCACCATAGTTACCATGTGTATAGTCACATTTATCGGGTCCTTCTTCTTGTCACGTTCACAGAGTGAACTAGTTAATTAACAGTATCTCTTAATTTCGATCCATATTGATTATTGTTGCTTTATTATAACACTAGCTTAAAATTGCATAAGATGGACCGCCCGAAAACAATGAAGCCCCACATAGTTCGAAAAGATGCTAGGGATGACGAGGCATCTCAACCCGTGTGCACAAATTGTAGCACAATGACAACGCCTCTATGGCGTCGAGATGAAGAAGGACAAACATTATGCAATGCCTGTGGCTTGTAGTAAGTTTACACTATTGATCTATGTTGTTGGTGGTTTATTCTTGTGTTGTATACAGTGTATCTAACGTTATCATAACTTTATAGCTTCAAATTACATCACGAGAAAAGACCGCTCTCCATGAAAACGGATGTAATAAAGAAGCGGCAACGCTATGAAAATGGGCAAAACCCCAATCGAAGAACAGCCAAGAAACACCGGGATAGCATACCGAATCAGACGCAACAGGTGTCGCCGCCACAGTCAACATCACCGACTGAAGCACAAACACAAACAATCTACCCTTCAATTGGGGTAACTGCTTCACCGAATCCTCCTTCAGCACGGACACCTACGTCATCAATGAGCGTTTCCAGTAACGTATCTCCGATAAGTGCAACAAGCATTTAACCGACCATTTACTCCTTTTGAGTGTTTTTATTTAGCATATAATTCATTCATTGTACACTATATTCTCATACGATTGATGTTCATGCGTCGCTTCATTTGCAGTCGAGTGACGTGACGCATGGATATACATATACACGGCTAACTCTCATTTGTAAAGTAGTTGTTAGACATTATACATTATCATTATGGAGCCACAGGCATTTCAACGTCTATGAGTTGCATGTAATGCTGGAACGACTGTGGTGTTTGTAGGTGGTAGTATAATCGATGTGGCGTGAAGCTTTGGTTAGAAGAAATTAGAAAAACTGTGTCTAATACATAGACACTAGTTGATATTCGTCTGTTTAAAGACGCTTAAAAAAAATACTCGACTATCACCCAATCAAAGCGGGGCGATACGCGAAGATGCTGTGGTCAAATGAGAGTAATAGTCACTGGGTTGGGAGAGGTCGAGGATTGATTGTATTCTAGATGGATTTGAATCAAGTATTAGAGATGGTGGCTGATGGAGCAGAGTTGTGGCGGAAATACATCCCCTTCTATTATAAAAATATTATTGCTATTGTTCTAATAATATGCACTTAAGTTATATATTGCTTCAAATAAGATGACAATAAAAAATGGTAAACTATTCAAACTGTATAACAATGCATAGCATATAATATATCACATTGTTGTATTAACGCCCTAATTTAGCTCATGAATCGTACTTGCGTTATTTGCAATGGGAGAAGGTAAATCACAAGATTGACATGCAGCGTATTGGACAATAAAAAGGGGGTCTCGGTCATGATCTTAACAAACTTGGTATGAGTGTGGGTAGTAACCATTCCTAACACTTCGAACAACGCCCAGAAGATATTACACAGGTAAACTGGTCCTACGTGAGGTTTAAAGGGTATTAGTGGTAACTTATAACTGTTTAATAAATTGACATTTGTTAACCTTCATTGATCATCTGATCTTTTGCTTGTATTACGAATGACATTTTTTTAATTACACCATTTGTTACAAACGTTTCTTGTTTGTATTGCGAATTACATGTTGATTGTCTCCCCTATTAGTTGTTACATGTGTATACAAATTTACGGCTAATAGGTACGGTAACTTGTACTTTTGTTGTCTCCAAGAGCTGAACTCTGTAGAAATGTTAATCGTTATTTTAAAAAAAGCATGCTGTATACATGTATCGAGTTTCACAATCAGTCAAAGCTATGGTCATCTCGCATACACTACTATCGCGAGGGACGCATACAGTAATACTCCTTCCAAGGGTATGTATAAATAGCACCCAATACTTTTCACCAGGTTTAGCTTTTTCTATTTGGCCTTGCTACAAACAGATTTCAGGGTTCCCAAACAAAGCGAACATAATAATACCACAACATGAATTCAGGGTTCATGAAACCGTGATACAGCACGCAAACGCTAACTCTGCTATTACGTGTACATACATTGATCTTTCTTTAGTTGTTTGCTTGCCGTTTTGCTTCTCAAATCCCCCCCGAGTTGATTTTTCTAAACTCGCAAAGTATAATATTACTATTTCGAGATCGAACCGTCAAATTCTGGTTAGGAACGATTAGTAAACTACGTACTTGAAAGCGATTTAAAAATTATTTCTGATCTAGAACACATTTCTAAATGTTCACCTACCTGTATTTGCAACCTGCTGTCCCAGGGAAAAGTCCTACCATGTCTTCAAGAACCTCCAGCAGTATTAAAGTCTTATTTAATATGCAGCTTCACGAGAATTTCAACAAAACATCTGTGTTTATAACTCAGCTTTAGCTTTTACTTCTATAGGAGCTAAAATAAATGATCATATAACTGGCACAAGAGGTCCTTATACTTTCCATATACATATCATAGAATTGGGTCATCAACTGTTGAACCTCCTTCATTTGCACAAATCTCTATTTTTGATACTGATAATGAGACTCAAAATAGGCGTAATATTATGCCCTCTTTAAATCAGGTAATTCTTGCAGCTCTTCAAAATATTAATATGCTTCATGATATTAACCCATATGTAATATTAATATTGTACAAGTTTTTCAACAAACAGGTAGATTAATTCAGCAGAATCTATCTCAAAATTTGACTATAATAATAACAGATTTATGATGTTATAATGTTCCAACACTTCTGAAATTGTTGCTATTATAGTAGGTGATAACAATAATCCATCTAATGTATGCAATCATGATATTATTTTACATTCACATGAGGGAGGTTTACTATTACAGTGTATATCTGAGCTACATATACACAGGGCCAAATTTATCTGCCCACACTAACACTTATGGCCAGCTTTATGTTGCTTGCTCCAGGACAACATCTAACAAAAATCTTAAGATACTAACAACAGGACAACATGAAAATGCTGGATATACTCAAAATATTGTATACCCAGAAGTATTAGTCATAATACCTTCTTCTTCTTTTTTTTTTTACTTTCTTATTACTCACTTTTCCTTCATTTATTAACTTTGTTTTCTTTTTTCTAGCCATTCTAATCTATTATAACCTTCTCTTTTAGTTTTTTCTCTTTTCTGTGCTTTATTTATCCTTTAT